TAAAAAAATTAAAATGACTATTAAGTTTTTATAGTGACCCACGACGATTTTTCATATTTTGAAAAGTCTGTAAAATACTTTCATCATTTAAACTATCAACAATGTCACTCTCAATGTATCCTACCAAAAAATCATTCATGAGATAATCACTCATTCTACTCCGAAGAGTGTTCTTTACGTAGTTCATTGCCGAAAATACTCTTTCAACACTTGCAGTGGCGACTGGTAGAAGCAATGCTAACTTCACAAGAAGATACATAGATGGAAATCCCAGATGAAGGGTGAGACTGGGTCTGGGAGAAGTCTTGCTTGTTAGGGCTGAAGTTCCGATTATTGCTTGAATAAGGATACAACTATGTATTTTTTTAATTTGATTTATTTATTATTTGCAACGGTAAATTAATTATATACATGCAATAAAATGTATTGGTGTATCACATAAGTAATTGTGGTTTAATGGAAGACGCCAAAACTAATAATAAGGGGGTTTCATGTTCAAATCCTAGTTATAGCATAAACTAATACCCCTATTTTTTGATGTCCTAGTTCTAATCTAAGGGTGTGTCATGGCACACCCTAATTATAAGCTATCTCCGCCCCTGCTAATAAAACTCTTTTCAATGAATGTGAATTGTTCTTATTGCTTAGATGCGATGCCGTTCAAAAATTAATTTGTCGGTTTGAAACAATATTTCTCTACGAGAAACAAACCCTAGAATTTCCCTCTAGTTAGAATTACGGAAATCAAAATACAGTAAAGAAAAGAAACCCAGAAACCTCGACAGCGAAAGAAACCACATTCACAACAAATCAAAACTAAACGATCAAGAATTGCAAATCGAGCTCATTATCGATTCCCGTTACTACGAATTCGATCGAAGAACAACAGTAATCCAGATTTCGCAAACAAGAGTAGAATTTCATACAAGAAAAGCTTGAAATCAGTAACAAAGACTACTAAGATTACACAATGAGAGCACCGACCTCGGTCTGGAATCACATATAGAAATCTTTTAGTAATTTTCTTAGAAATCTCTTTTTTCATTTCTTCACCTTAAGAGGCCATATATTTTGCATAATTTTGTATTCCTTTTTATTTCTTTCATTCTTTAATTTCATTTGTAAGGTGACACATATTTTGTCTCGTTTCTTTTAATCACAAATAGAAATCTTTTGATAATTTTCTTAGAAATCCATTTGTTTTGCTATTGTTCGTATCCGGCGCATTTTCCATTTTTCCATTTTTTTTTTTTTGTTGTGTTGAAATTGATCTTTTTGTTCCTATTTGGTTTTCGGATCCAACGAATCAAATGCTAAAGTATTCCTTTTTTTTTCTTTTTTCTTATTTTCCTTTTCAAATGCAGAAAGTTCGTAAATTCTCTAATTAACAATTGTTGAGTTCCAAATATGTAAATTTTCATATGCTAATTTGTAACTTATTAGTCAGCGAGTGCCTATTAGTACGAATTCTCTCCCACAACATCTTGTGCTTTTTCTTGCCGTTGTTGGAATTATTTCGTATGAGTTATATTTTGTTGATTGTTTCATACGATACGATTACAGTGCTATCATCCACCCGCCACTAAGCGCAAGCGAGCAGACATATCTAGTGCGATGTTAAGATTAAACCTCTTTTCTTCTTTTCAAGTTAATTAGGTGGGGTCGTGGCCCGTGGGTTCCAATGTACTGTTAGGCATCGATGATGCCCTTATGAGTTGTTACCAAGTAGATAAGAAATCGTTAGGAATAATATTGTCTGACTGATTAGTTCATAACTAACTCTTTATCCCAAGGTTGTCAACCCGCGGGTTGACCCGGACCCGTTCGAGCTAGTAGGTCAAGGGTTAATGGGTCAACCGTTTTAGCCCGGTTTGGCCCGAAAATATGGAAAAAGTCATTATATTGTACTTATCCTCATAAATTATATCAAATCTTATCTAACATATGAGTTATAACATATAATATTACACCAAAATAACATATCGTACTTAGATCCAACATATAATGAAAATTCACACACACTTATATAACATAAATATTAAAATGTTCAACTTAGGATTCCAAGATTGAGTTGGGCGAAAAGAAAAATCGGAAAATAGGCGCATTTCGCAAATCAAAGGAAAAAAATGACACAATTTGACCTCCAACCCGGTACCTTATAGCGGTCGGCCCGGCGGGTGCGTGCGGCCCATTTTTCTCATCGGGTCAGGGTCAAACTGGGTTGACCCGCGGGTTGACAACCTTGCTTTATCCTAATACGACTAGTTATTTTCGTGAGACAACAATGTAGTTCGTCCAACTAGTCTTTATATGATTTTCACCATCTAAATAGAACATGTATGATGTTTGTCGATTTTCTCTGCAAGTAGCATTTGTATAATAAGAGTGGCACTTTTATCTACCTAACAAGCAAGAATAATAATTCCAAGTATATAGAAGTTATCTCATGCGTATATCCAATATATCCATTAACACAGTCCACAAACACAGACACAAACCGCGTCCATTAATAATAAATGGGTGTATGGTGGCTAGAGCATCATATTCTTAATCCCACCAAAAAGAATTAATAATCTCAAATAAAGTGGAAGATTCTGATCATCATGTGTATTTCCAGAATACATGGTATGTGTATTATACACATGAAGTGATGCAGTATTACCTGCAGGATGGTGTTGTAATTAATGATTAAGCGATCAACTGACACCAGATAAAAATATTGATTTCTTATTTAGGGTGCGTTTGGAGAGAAAATTTTGGATTTTGAATTTAAAATTTTAAATACATATGGATGATTTTGGGATTTGTATCAATATTATGGGAAGAATTTCAAATATATATCAACAGTGAAATTTTTCACAACAATAAATTGAACTTATTTGTAAAATTTTAAATTTTTAGGTACTATAATTGTAAGGAAAATAAAATTTTATACTAAAAATAAATATAGATTTCCAAAAAAATTGTAATATATGACCAAGAAATTCAAAATTGAAAAAAGGACCTATAAATCTCAAATACCAACAAGTTATAAATAAGTATAAAAAATAGAATATGAATTATATTTATTTAAATTCATAATTTTAAATGTATACATTTGAAATACATCTATCCAACACACCATTATAGAATTTATAATTACTATTTACCGTTTTTTAAATAAAGTAGGGATTCCTTTACAAGTTTTTAAATAACTTTATGAATGACATAACCAAGATTTCATTTTAAAGAGAATCCGATTTTAGAGAAGAAAAAAAAACAAAATCATAAGATGGCTTTTTATGATTTATTTTTCATTTACAACTGGAAGTCTTATCATCATACTATGGAAGTTATGATCACATCAAAGTTGATTGGGTTTAGTTTGTAGGTAGATACATAAGGGGATAGTGCAAGGTTTAGGGTTTGAAATCCATTCTCGACATCTATTATTCAAAAGCGGATCATATGCATAACTCTGCATAACCTCTATTTACCACGAGTGATATGATTTTACCACTATGGAAAGGATCGTATACCCTCTTGTAAACACAAATTTTGCAGGGTTATGCACAAATAGGTTAGGGAACCAACCTAATCGTAGTAGTTACCGTGTTGCATACTTTCATCATCAATACGAAGTTTACTATTTTAAACACTAAAAGTTTACCATTTCTTGTCATCTTTGTAAAAAATGAAAGTTTAGGTACTAAATTGCAATAAAAATAAATCAGATTACCACAATATAATTTTTCAATAATTGTATTTTGTAACAAGAAAGTTTAAAATTAAAAAGAGTCATACAAATTAAAATATTGAAATATCAACAAATTAGTAATGATCATTCAAATAACAAATTCAAATTACATGTATTTGAAATACACCTATTCAAATGCAACTTATGGACATACATAATTTTTCTGGTATGAAATTTAGTGGCTCGTGTTATGAAAAAGAAAATTAGAAATTTGACAATAATAATGTATCATGTTGGCTGATCTTTTGGTTGAAGATGACAATGAAGATTTTAGTATCTAAAACTCATACTCATAGTATGATTGATCGATGAGATTGTGTCAAGAGATAATTACTTGATTGGTCAGTGAGTTGATCAAATGAAAAAAAAATGAATCATGTGCATGAATACAGACGAATTTGCATGATGAATTGGTGAAATTGTCACGAGTTTCTCATTTATTTTTATAACATTTGTGTGTGATGAATCGATGAAATTCATAATATTTGTTTCAAATAAATTTATTTAAATTACATGTTATTATCATATATTTATGTCCATACATTACCAGTAAGTCTAGCTCTTGGATTTGATTTGAGTACCTTAAACTTCAATTTAGAAAAAAGAAAATACATTTTCAATAAAAGTCTTCTACAACTGTTTAGACACATTTCATTTTCTGCTATATATGTACTCATATCAACTACTACTCTATAAGCTAGTTTCAATTCAAAATGGTTTATCTCTTCCACAAATAATTATGTTCTCGTCATCCCCACTAATTCTTCTTTGGCTTGAGTTCCCCCCAAAGGTGAAATCTCTCTGTGCACGACCGTATGCAAAAGTGACAATTTTACCAACCAGATTTTCCTAAACTAGAACAAGCAATTTAATGTCTGAAAGCACAAAAAAGAAGTGAAAATAGCCTCAAATTGGTCCATTTGATCATGCGCTTGGCAATTGCCATCATATGCATCCTGCCCTCCAATTGGACAAAACCCAATTCCCAAATCTTTCCTATAATCCTAAATATTCACAATCTCCATTACCATTATCTTGCCATGACCGCCACCACCACCTGTTGGCGGCGGCGGCGGCGCCGGTTTGGACATGTTCTTTCCGGCGAATCATTTTCTCCACAGGCATATATATATATAGTGGCAGCTGACTGAGAGCATATAAAAGAAGCTATTCATCTCTAGCTCTAGTAGACTGACTAGTATAACTAGTAGTGCAGAGGAGGGAGGAGGATATTTGAGAATGTGCTGTGTTAGGGAAAAGAACACATCAATCACAGAATAATTCTCTCTACCCTTTCTCCATTCTGCTCATTATATATAACAATGTTCATTAGCTCCACCATTGAAACACCACTCACCCTTTCTTCTCCCAGCTTCACCTCTTTGGAGTAAGCCAAACCCACAAACCAGAACTTTCTTAAAAGTGGGAAAGAAATGGTGAAATTTTCCAAGCAGTTTGAGGGCCAGCTTGTTCCTGAGTGGAAAGAAGCATTTGTTGATTACTGGCAACTCAAGAAAGACCTTAAGAAGTTCCATCACCATGATCACCACACCACCACTTCACCAAACAACTGCAATGGCATTAGCAGCAGCAACTTGGCCACTAAGTTGGTTACTTGTCTAAAGAAACTCACTCATAATTTGGGCCATGGACATAGAGACCACCACCATCATGGAGCCATTCAAGTACATGCAAACCCTTTTCTTCTCTATCTTTCTTCCATCAATCCATTTCTGTAATTTTGTCCAATTGACCATGTTTGATCAACAGGTTCACAAGAAGCTGGCCTCCACACTCAGCAGAGGCGACACGTATGAGACCGAATTGCTGGATCAGTTTGAAGACAGTGTTGCAGTGAAGGATTTCTTTGCCTGCTTAGATTTGCAGCTTAACAAAGTGAACCAATTCTTTAAGTCCAAGGAGAAGGAGTTTGTGGAGAGAGGGGAATGCCTCATGAAACAAATGGACATCCTCATTCATCTCAAGACTGCACTCAAAAACCACCACAACAACAAGAATTCTTCTCTGCCTCAGGATTCCAAGGATGATCCATCCATTTCATGCACCATTACCTGTGGTACTTTACTTACTTACCACTTGTCTGTTAACACAGCACTAAAAATGCTCAACGTACCAAAATCGTCACTGAACTTCAAAATATAACGAACTGGTCACTTGCATTTATCAGTTAGTTACCAAATATGATCATTCCCCTTAACTCTGCATCAGATTTTCTCAGTTAAGTAAGCCTAATCAGCAGTTTTCAATGAGTTTACTGACGATTTTGTTACACCAAGCATAGTTTAGCAATCAAACCCCTTATAATGATCAATACTTTAAGCTTTGTGTGTCTCTAATTACGCTTCAAATGTTTTTAACTTTTGAACAGAAGGAGAAGAAGAACAAGAGGAAGAAGAGAAAGAGCCAGAGGAGAATGAGTCAGAGAAGGCTAGTGGTGATGAAGCAGTGGACTCCCCAAGAATGAAGAGAGAGGATATGAAGATGAGAACAATATCGGGTCGGGTTTTCAGCTGCAAAGGCAAGAACTTGAGGCTCAACATTCCATTGACTACACCTCTGCGCACTTTCTCTGCAATCAGCTATCTGGTTTGGGGAGATAATTCGGTGTCGTCGAAGAAATGCAACCCTGAAGGAAGCAGGCTGCCTGTTCACATCAACAAGACAAAGTTGCATCATGCTGAGAAGATGATTAGGGGAGCTTTCATTGAGCTCTATAAAGGCCTTGGTTATCTCAAGACTTACAGGTAAATTCAACTAAGTTACCAATTCATTATTTCTTAGTTTAAAGTTAGAAGCTTTCTATAAAGAGCTATTTAGAAGCTTACTTAGTATTGGTCCTTGTTGCAACTTGTTTCAGGAACTTGAACATGCTAGCTTTCATCAAGATTTTGAAGAAGTTTGACAAGGTAATGCAAGTTCTTTTCTTTCTTCATTTCTTTATCAACACTTTTCTTGGTAAGAAGTTAAGTTCAGGATTAATGAAAGAGATGGGTGTTTTTGTTGTTACTCCTCTTCAGGTGACTGGGAAACAAGTACTTCCAATCTACCTCAAAGTTGTTGAAAGCACATACTTCAACAGCTCTGACAAGGTAAACTAAAGTTTAACTTCATTGAATTCTGTCAAGCAAGTAAAAATATATCTTGAGGCTATGATCTTCGTAGGCTGGCTAACATAGACCAATCACCACACTGCAAAACTTTCATTGGCTACACACAAGGAAAGATGAGATGTTTGCTTGGCTGCCATTAGTCTGTTTCCTAGTCTGATTCTTGTTTGCCGACAATGTGAAGTGGCTGATGATCCTGAAATGCACACACATACATGTTTAAGGAAGATTGTAAACCCAGATCTTCTTGTCCCTCACTTTGAAATGGTTTTTCAGCCAGTCATTCCTTTTGTCCTCCCTATATGCCTATGGCAAAGGATAAGAAAGAAAAGGTGTTGCTTTTGCTGATTAGTGGGTTTGGGGGAAATGACAGGTGATGAATCTAGCAGACGAAGTTGAAGAACTGTTTGTGAAGCATTTTGCTGAAGAAGACAAAAGAAAAGCCATGAAATATCTTAAGCCACAGCAGCGCAAAGAATCACATAGTGTCACATTCTTAATTGGTAAGCAAGCAACTCCCTCTCTCTGTTCGCCTGTGCCTCCGGGTTTTCATGTGTGATTTATTGGTCATCGTGAGAATAGGGTAGCCCATCTCGTAGCTGGGAAGACACTTTCGTTGTTACCCTGCTGCTACAGTAGGGTTTTCACTTTTGATCTTGGTTATTTTCGTGTCGGTGAATTGTGTATCTTTGATTTCTCGATGATATGGCGACATACCAAAAGTTACAACAACTCTCTCACACGCACACAGAGGCATGGAAAATTTTGCAGCCTGATATGGCTTTTTGACCTTCCTTTATGTGGCTTCTCGGTTATTGATTTTAGGTGGAATTGCTTTGTTACCTTGTTCTCCTTTATGGACTACAAACAAATGAGTTGAGTTTGAAAAGAAGCTGAAAAATCATGGCATGGTCCCATGCACCCATCTAAAGGCCACTAGGAGGGTTCAAAATGAAGGGCTAGTAGGCAGGCAGTGCCTGGTTTACCTTTTCTATTTTCATTTTTTTCCATGTCACACACCATTATCTGTCTCTTACCAAGGATTGGTGACCATAAAAACACTGCCATGATTGTCTAGGGAGATCTCAAACCCTGGCCTGTTGATTGCCTCAACTTTTTTTAACAAAGTGATGTGCTTTGTGTCCAACCCAATAGTTCTGTTACTTTCAGGCCACAGAATCACACCAGAATAAGCATATTCCCTTCTTCACTCCCCCATATATCCCTCAAATCACTCTCTGCTAGTGAACAAATGGGTTTTAAGCACTATTAATTCATATTATCCTCCACCATAGCCTTAAAATGCTAAATGCATACCACACATGGTGCCATTTGAATGTGATTCTGATTCTTATGTATCCTCAATTGAACTCCGACATGCAGTATGTGTTGATGAATGAATTTATTTTACCACTTACCAGGGTTATACTTTTGTGCCCTAATCTGCTGTGAAAAAAATGGAACAGGACTATTCACTGGGTGCTTCATTGCCCTCCTAGCTGGATATGTGATCATGGCTCATGTCACCGGAATGTACAGACCGCAACCAACGCAAACAAACACAACATTCTATATGGAGACTGCGTATCCAGTCCTAAGGCAAGCTTCTTAGATCAGTTTTCGAAGAATCCGAGATGCCTAATTTAATTTGTTAGGATAAGAAAAGTGGACTCATGTTGCTATGTGTATGATGTTTTTGCAGCATGTTCAGCCTCATGTTCTTGCATTTCTTCATGTACGGCTGCAACATTTTGATGTGGAAGAGAACAAGGATCAATTACGCCTTCATATTCGAGCTGGCACCAACCAAGGATCTCAAGTACAGAGATGTGTTCTTGATCTGCACAGCTGCGATGACTATTGTTCTCGGAGTCATGTTTGGTCACCTCGCCCTTCTTGCAAAGGGCTACTCCTATTATTCCCACATTCAAGCCGTCCCCGGGCTTCTCCTTCTGGTAACTACAAATAAAATTACAATGATGACCACCCTTGTCTTGTTTTGCAGTTGGACATTGACTGATGATATTCATTTCATTTGCTTCTTCTGCAGGCCTTCCTGGGGTTATTATTCTGCCCTTTCAACATTTTCTACAAGTCAAGTCGGTACAGGTTCCTCTGCGTCATAAGGAACATCGTTTTATCACCAATGTACAAGGTTGTCATGCTGGATTTCTTCATGGCAGATCAACTCTGTAGCCAGGTTAGAATTCCAAGCTAGCTTTACAAGAGCCTGAAAAGGCCTCATGGATAGATAACTTGTTGCTTAAGGAAACAGTAATACTAATCTTGTGAATTTTGCAGGTGCCAATGCTAAGGAACCTGGAATATGTAGCATGCTACTACATAACAGGAAGCTACAAAACCCAAGACTATAACTACTGCATGAAGGCCAAGCATTACCGCGATCTTGCTTATGCAGTCTCCTTCCTACCCTACTACTGGCGAGCCATGCAGGTAACACAACAATTAGTCAACCACGCCCCTCCTTTCTTATTAGCTAGTCCATTTGAAGCTATACAACTTTTACTGATTTACATAATTCTTGTGCAGTGTGCAAGGAGATGGTTAGATGAAGGGGAGACAAGCCACCTAGTGAATCTAGGCAAGTATGTGTCAGCAATGTTAGCAGCAGGAGCCAAAGTGGCTTATGAGAAAGACAGCAGCGTCGGATGGCTATGTGTTGTTGTGGCCATGTCGAGTGCTGCAACTATTTACCAGTTGTATTGGGACTTTGTAAAGGACTGGGGCTTGCTCCAGATGGACTCCAAGAATCCATGGCTAAGAAACGAACTGATGCTGCGACGAAAATTCATTTACTATTTCTCCATGGTATAATTTAATCTCCTATATTGCCACATTACAGGGAACTTGATGCCACCCTCTAGTTGCATTTATCTAGACACCTCACCATGTTGAGATCTCTTAAAACAAGAACAACAGAACATCAACTTATTCTGTTTAAGATAAGATGTCTGAGATTGGAAAGAGAACAGAACCTTATTCCTTTGAGAAGTACAATGGAAATGAGAACAATGTAATTTGCTTATGCTTAGATGAGTCACTGCTATGAACAAAAAAAAAAACAGGAAAAGTATCTTTAACGGTGAACTTTTTGCAGGGATTAAACGTTGTTCTGAGGCTAGCTTGGTTGCAAACGATTCTACATTCGAGCTTCGAACACGTAGATTACCGGGTAACTGGGTTCTTCTTGGCTGCTTTAGAGGTCATCAGAAGAGGCCACTGGAATTTCTATAGGTGAGAAAAAAGAACCCTTCTTCCTATCTTTCTTTCTTTTCCCTTATTCATGGAGCTTGAACTGAAATGATATTTTGATTACCGTAGAGCATATTGGATTAGAGAAGGGGACTGAAATATAAAATTCTTATTCCAATGAATGGAGCAGGTTGGAGAATGAGCATCTAAATAATGCTGGAAAGTTCAGAGCCGTGAAGACAGTTCCACTTCCATTTCATGAAGTAGATGAAGAAGATTGACTGATAGAAAGATAGAAGATGCCTTTGATTTACCCTCCCTCCACCACCATTGATGCCCATTATTCCTTTGCTTGCCAAATTGGTAGCTGTTATACTAGCTCAGCTTGGTTTCAGAATGGGATCATGGAATTTTCCTTTTTCTCTTTTGCGGATAAATTAGAGGACTTAAGGGATGACGAAGGATCCCCATGCTTCAGATATGTCATTGTTGTTGTTTGTGTCACAAGGCATCATTCACTTCGAACTTTGTTCCTTTTTGATCGGTTCCAAGGAACTTGGAGTAAGAGAAACGAGAGAGGAGGAAACGAGAGTAATTAAGTAGTGGCAGTAGTAGAAGAAGGCTCATACTTACTTTGTACACAGAATTTATTAATGGGGAATGAAAAGGAGTAAAAACAAGAACCGGGTTTTCGTTTCCCTAAAGCTTGGATCTTAGGGGCTTCTTCCATTTTTCTGTAACCCCAAATTCAATTTGCCAAGAAACCCAGTTTGCCCATTGACATTGGATCATATAACTACACATATCGAGTTTGGAATTTGAAGTCCTCAATTCAAAAAGTTTCGGACTTTGCATATAAAAAGGTTGGAAATAACTTGCGACACGATATGCCGAATTTGAAAGTCGCCAGCTTTTATCCCGTTTGTTCATAAAGGGCCAACAATTACTTTTGAGCCGCTCTCCGGAGAGAAATCAAGATTCAGACTTCAGACAAACTTGGGAAGTTTTTACAATATGAAGGCACTTGCACATGGAAGTTGTTGTCCCGTCATAACTGCCATCTCAAACTCGAGGTTCATACCTTCGCGGCGGTCCGCCAATTCACTCCCATGTCGCGTTTCCTTCGAATCCTTTTCTCCCTCGAGCTCAAAGGCTTCAGCTTTCCGCTTCCCGAGGTTTACCATCCCGAAACCCTAGAATCCCTCTTCTGAGTATCCAAGCCATTGAATTCCCTGAAAAACTTGGGACTTTGACTTCATAACAGTATTCAGTTACGCTGCAAATTTTTGTGGCAGGTTGAGAATCTCGCAGAGTGAGGCAGTCGACCTACAATGCCGCTCTAGGCTTCTGGTGTCTGCGGCGGCGGCGGATGAAGATTCAGAGACGAATTCGGAAGTTGAACCAAACAATTCTTCGGATGGGGTATGCTGGCACCTTTCTGCTCTGCACACATGAATTTGCTTGCTTTGCTGCATCTTCATTCACTAGCACAATTGAACCCTTCATCATTGTAGGCTGCAACAGTGGACATAAAATTGCCGAGGAGGAGTTTGCTTGTGCAATTCACTTGCAATGATTGTGGTGAAAGAACACAAAGGCTTATCAATCGTCTGGCCTATGAGAAGGGACTCGTGTTTGTGCAGGTACTGGAACTTACTATCACATGCACAAATTCAGTCTTTCTGGTTTTCTTGAATGTGGTGAACAGCCAAAATTGCATCACCCCGCCATCGCAATGGAACTTTCTGATGCCACAGGACTTCATGAATTATTCAGATGTACATTTGCAACTTTTTAGGAGGATAGTTTGGACTCGATTGACAGTACTTGCATGTTTGTTTTGCCAAGGCTCTTGCGAAACCAGTATGATAGTTGGCCTTTGAAAGGAAGATAGAAAATGCAGGAAGAGCTATATGTTTGAATTCACATTTTTCCTCTTCAGTGTGCAGGATGTGAGCAGTATCATAAGTTAGCTGATAATCTTGGTCTCATAGTTGAGTACGATCTACGGGAGGAGATTAAGACCGATCCAAATGCAGAGGAAGTTTGATAACCAAAGATAGATTCTGTATGTGCCTCGTTCTTCTCGTGTTTATAATGTAATGCGAATATTTAATCTGCATACTGGCAGATCCAAGAATTAAACAATACAAAAATGTGGATACTGAGCTTGGACAGTTTTGAGGCTGTGCTCTTGCATTACAGTTCCTCTTAACATGAGATATTATTGTTTGTACACACAAAACAATTTCCTTTCGAAGTAAAGGAAATAAATCCATGGCTCTTAATTGTAACTTTGTAAGCACCTCAATGATCTTTAGCTGCCTAGCCTGCAGCAGCCAGCAGAAGTGCCACAGCTAGTCCAGTTCTTGCCCACATTGTTGTCATTCGTCCCCTTATATACTGTGAATCTTGCCCATTCTGCATGCAAAAATATCAAGGGAGCGGTCATTGTTGGAGTGACTTGAAATGCATAGCGTTCTTACTTTGATAAGGGAGAACATACCGTATTTGGTGATGGTGCAGGGGCAGTGTCATCATCCGAAGATGTCACCACAGGTGGGGATGGCGGGCTAGGGGGCTTTGGGGCTGGAGCTGGGGCATGATGATGCTTCTTATGCTTGTGGGGCCTCTTCTTGTGCTTGTGTGCAGCTGGAGCAGGTGAAGGCACCACCGATAATGGAGTTGGTGCTGGTGGTGGCATAGGTGGTGGAGTCAGCGGCGCTGGTGCTGGCGCTGGTGCAGGAGCTGGTGGTGCTGGTGCTGGCGCTGGTGGAGGACTAACTGGGACTGGTGCTGGAGCTGGTGGTGCCTTTGCAGGGGCCGGAGATTGAGGAGGTGGCAAAGCAGGTGGTGACGTTGCTGGTGCAAAGACAGGCGCAAGAGATTGAGGAGGTGGAGCAGTTGGAGCAGCGACTGGTGCTGCCTTTGGAGATGGTGGCGAGATGGGAGTCTTTGCAGGGATCGGTGACTGTGCTGGTACTGCTGGGGTTGATGTTGGTGGCGATGATGTCGTAGGAGGAGGAACGGTCGTTGTAGGCGGAGGAGTAGCAGGTAATGTTGAAGGTGATGCTGCTGGCGTCTGGCCATTGACAATGGCCAAGTGGAAACCAGCAAGGCAGCCCAAGATGAAAACCCAGGAAATCATTGAACCCATTTTGCTGTTGTGATGAGAGAATTCGGAGGGACCAGATAGTAAGGTTATATAAGACCAAACATTGAAAAGAATGTTTGGTGAAAGGTGGAGGGAGAGATGTAGTGTTCAAGGTTGGAATGCGACATTGCTACTAATGATTTCGATTATAGCTTCTCATGGTCGTGTCAAAAATGGATACAGATAGTGGGTCCTTGAAGGGAAACCATCAGAATTCCTTTTCTCAAACCTTGCATCAAACTTGCTTAAACTACATTATTTGGCGCCATTGTTAATGAATGCTGGCTGGATTTTCAGTTACCAGCAATGACTTTACCGATCACAATCCCCCCATTCTTTCTTTCTGGTATTAATGCCGATTTGGTGGTGGTGGTGGTGGTGGCGTAAAAGTTGCATGCTTTCTGCTGTTTTGCTCGTTCTGAAAACGATTCAGGACTTGCCATTGGTAATTCTGGCAAGAAAAATTAGGTGGGCTTGATTATGATGGCAGGTTCATTTCACCCTGCTGTCCAATTGACCGAGATGTTGCTCCTAATACCAAGACTTTGCGTGGGTAAGGTGGCGCTGTCTTGAGTTTAGAAGGAGGAATCAGAGGGTCAGGATTCAGGGTTTGTCATCTGTTTCGACTTTTGTCACACATACACTTTGGGGAAAATGTAAATATTAGTTACTAAATGTAGTTAAAATTGTCTTTTAAAACTCAAAACCTTAAATTTTTATACTTTTGGGTCATCAAAACACTTATATGTAGATTTTTGTTTTACAGTTGCAATTTTAGTCAAATCTACGCTTTAAAACTTAAAATCTGAAGTTTTACGCTTTTTTATCACAAAAACGCTTCTACGTAGAATCGCACTTTCCAGTTACAATTTTAGTCAGAATCTACGCTTTAAAGCTTAAAATCTTACATTTTTACGCTTTTAGAGTCCTTGATGAATCATTGGATAAAATCTCATCATATATTTATGACATTGGAATTTACAAGTCCGTAGGGTCCACAAATTTTATATATAAAAAAGTGCAAGCAAACAATGAATTTTCCATAATCCATGGATTCCATAGTCCAAATGTACGAAGCAAACGACCCTTTAAGTAACGATAAATTGGATTCGAGGTCCAAATCCATCATTCAAATCCACAAAGCCTAACTAATCCTATACATTATTTGAGAGGTTTTATATGTGGTTTAATCAAAATTAGTAAGAACGAAATTAGGTTGACCCATAATGAGAAGTCAAACTTCAAAACCCCAAAGCACGACCGCTTGCTTTCCTTTTCCTCCCATCCCATCTCTCGCAAGTCGCAAGTCGCAACATCCCAGTACTGAGTAGCACACTGTCACTCGCAAGCAAAGCCCTAGCTGCTGTTTATCCGAAAGAAGAATAAAATGATGAAGCTTTCGACGCGATTCCTCCAGCAACTTCACTCCACCAGGTGAAACCCAACCCACTCTCTTCTTACTTCCTCTTCTTGATGATGTTGATTTGGACCATAATCGCTTCGTCATTTGCTTCCGCAGGAACACTTCACTTGGGAAATCAGCCGTCACCGGAGACGCTCTTCTTCGCCTCCAATCTCCCATTTCCACCGCTGCTGCAGGCAACGCCGGTATGACTCTTTCATCTCGGTATAGTTCCTTCTTTCTTCGCGCAATATATCCCCCTCAGAAAGTTAGGGCTTTTTTCGTTGTGTGCTGTTGTTACTGTAGATAATTCTGCTGGGGATCGGATATATGCACCGTTCTCTGTCTACAAAGGGAAAGCTGCTCTTTCCGTCGAACCCGTCCTCCCAACTTTCACTAAAATCGGCGTAAGTGAATTTGTTTGAGTGTAGCAGCGTCATCTGTCAAACCCCATTTACTTGTTTCTTCCTTTACTTCTATATTGACGTCGAGCTTCCTTCATCTTCTTCAGGCGGGAGCTCTTAAGGTTGGCCGGTCTGGTACCATGATGATGACCTTCGTGCCTGCCATCGGTGAGCGCAAGTATGACTTTGAGAGAAAACAGGTTCTACTACCCTCACTTTCTTTTCCTTTGCAGGATTGAGCTATCACCCTACTTCCCCAATTATGTTTCCTTGTACAAGTTTGGGAGGCTTTGAATCCTATTTTTCTGTGCTGCCATTTGCAGAAGTTCGCTCTCTCGGCAACAGAGGTTGGGTCTTTGATAAGCATGGGTCCCAAAGATTCCTCTGATTTCTTCCATGATCCCTCCTTGAAGTCGAGGTTGGCATTTCTCATTCCTGTGTTTTCCAACTTGTTTTCTGTGAGTTGTTTCTTGAAACTTGACCAAACTGTGTGATTCCAGTAATGCTGGTCAAGTGAGGAAGTCCTTGTCAATCAAACCTCATGCTGATGGTAGCGGCTATTTCATTTCTCTGAGTAAGCTATCTGGCTGTATCGTCGTTTTTCACTTTCAAGACTATAGGTTCTCTGCCTCTTCCAGTTGAAACCCAGTTCCTCAAAGCCTAAATGGATGCCATCACCCCTTTGTTTGCTACATTTGTTAGTGAATGGGATAAGCTTTCTATGCTCTTCAACCTTGACACGATGCATTTTCTGTCAGCTTCCTTAGAAATGACAACTGTCTTGTTGGGCTAAGAATGATGCATTATTTGAGCTTTTTCCTATAATGTAAACTTAAAAAATTGACAAGTTTATTCTTCGGCGAAAGACCTCGGAAGTAGTATTGTAGCACCGTGTCCTTGTAATTCCGTGTTGTCAAGGTAGCAGGTCTGCATGTAGTCATCGATTTTAATTGCTTTTCCAGTGCTCATTGAGCATGAAGAGTTCCAATCTGATGATCCGCACAGAAATTTGGTTACTTATTATGGCTCTGGTTGTTGTAGATGTTTAAGGGGGATGGTTTTCTTGCTCTAACTCGATAGTTTTGGATCAACTCTAATTCTGTTTCAGCTGTTGTTAACAACATTCTCCAAACCAATGACCGTGTAACTGTTCCTGTCACGACAGCTGAATTTGCAGTTTTGAAGACAGCTTGCAGTGTATGATCCTGTTTCTCCCTTCCTAGAGCATACACTCTGCTTTTTCACTTGTGAATATGTACATGTGGTAGTTTATCAATTCAGGCCATTCTTTTGTTGTGCGTTATCTCGATAAACAACTGTTCTTGATGCTTGGGGATCTTAGTTTTGTTTTGGGTCAATCGTGGATCAATTTGTGTGAAGAGTCTTTTGTGATGCATTCGAGTTTATGTTTCTGAGTCTTGGTCTTCCTGCAGTTTGCCTTGCCACATATCATGGGCTGGGATCGATTAACTTCACCACAAGCGAAAGATGCGGGGCATCCAGCAAAACTGAAATTGCAGCCAGAGTTGGAATGGGATAAATGATAGGCAGGCACCACTGGTTGTCGTTTTAGGGATTAATGCTCTGGAGATTAGTCTAGTCTGCTTTTCTGGTGGGCTGTTTTTGTTCATGTTTTCCTCCAGAGGAAATTGCCCACCACTATGTTGGAAAACTGCGAAGTATTGGTGACTTGTTAGATGGACGTAATGCCTGTAATTATTATGGTTTTTCCAGATTTGTACTGAGTTAATTAGAATTAGATTATGATTTGCAATCAGCACAAGTGTTTATTCTTTATTGTTAAGTTACATTACAGACCCAAGCAAAATTGAACATAATGCCAGAAATAGTCCATCTCTTACAAACAGAACATGACGTGGAAAATATCATGCATCTTCTTGAGAATCTTTGATGGATGATTTGAGACTCGCACCAGCGAATTCTGGGGAGAATGCTGCTGCTGCTGCTCTTCCTTGCTATTGTTAATCTTTGTCTTTCTCCTTAGCTGGAAGAACGACTGCATCACGTCTGCACAGTCTGCTGCCAGTATGCCTCGCCGAATCGTCATTTTGGGATGGAAAGGGTGGACTGGGGGAGGTGGCTTATCCGTTTCCAATCCACTACCTCCTTCCCCATTTGGGAATATCCTGCAAAAAGAAAAAAGAAATATGATCGTGTTGATTCATCAAGAAGGTTGTTGTTCTAGTTCATGAATCCTCGCATTTGCTCAGATGCCTTCGCACCCAATTTATAGTCTCAATTATGTTTATGATTACTGCTATTGCTGATTTTGAGCAACTAGAGCCGATCGAAAGCGGATTCAAATAGCTGAGATACAGAGATAAGAGGCGACTTACCTAATCCAACTTCCATCAGCTCCAAGAAGCTTATTGGGAGCTCCCCATACAAGAGTGTCTATTCTTGCCTGAAGGATTGCTCCAGCACACATAGTACATGGTTCCAGTGTTACGTAAAGTGTTGTCTCCTGAATACCGAAAACATGGACAAAACAGAGATATCATACACTGGACAGGACTGAAAATATATCTACAACCTCTTTTTAAAGCTTGGTAAAGAGGAACTCGAGATTTACCGCAAGCCTCCATGAACGAAGTTGATTTGAACCCTCGCGGATGCAAATCATCTCTGCATGTGCAGTAGAGTCACGCAACTCCTCCACTCTGCAATTCAATGTCCCTAAACCCTCAGAAGAAGATAAGTTAACGCCACCTACAAATATTTATTTGGCTAACTAGAAATGTTAACTTACAAGTTGTAGCCCCGTGCAATAATCTTGCCATGTTGTACAAGCACAGCACCGACAGGTACCTCCCATATATCTGCAGCCTTCTTCGCTTCTACCAACGCTTCTCTCATGAACATTTCATCAATCTTACGCTGCTCACTTTCGCGTATATAGGCCTCTTCCCAGTCATCGAAACTGTCTCTTATCACCTGCTTGTTCCGCTGAAGCTTCCTTCCTTTAACCTCCCCATCTTTCTCCCCAGAACCACTTGCTGATGCATCACTTTTATGAGTATCTAAACTCGGCTTTACAATGGGACTACTCCGTGCACTTAAAGGCAAGGAAATCGAGGGTGTTTCCCCAAGCCTAACGCTAGAAGGAGCAACTTGAGATCTCTTTCCTTCTGGACTAAAGTCAAGGTCCTTTTCTCCAGCGGGAGAAGTAAAACCTCTAGAGGTCGACCCACTTTTCAATATGATTGAAGGAGACGCCATACGTTTTGTTTCACCTGTATCTGATGCTTCTCCACGCCTCTGACTAGAAGTATGGCTTATTAATACTTGATCAGAACTGCTTGTCTCCTTTTTTAGAGTTCCTTCACTCCTTTCATCAGGATCACGTCCAGAAAACCATGCCTCGCTAGCAGCAGAATCGTTTGACGACGTCTTCCCACCTGTTGATTTAGAGGTTTCTGCACGTGGTGAACTCCAGCGCAATCTAACTATATCCCCAATGATAGCCCACATGGATTTCCCAGTTTTCCTAATTGTAGAACGTTCAGTAACTACTGAACTTCCTGCCTCATTGGTACCTTGGAGTTCCTCTGCTGCTTCTGCCTTTGGAGGTTCATGAACAGATGGGTTTCTGACATCCCATATCTCGTCAGAAGGACCCTTTTCACCAGAATCTGCAGATGAACCTCTTGAATTATTCCCCTTTGATACTTCAGCTTCAGAACTTGGTTCATGATGCCTTGCCCTCTCAACAAACTCCCCAACGTACTGCATGGATGATTCTTCCTGACGACGAGCTGAACCAAGAACATCTCCAGGGTTATGAAGATACAAAGAGTTGTCATTAAACCCACCTTCTTCTAGGTCTCCATACTGTGGTTCTTGACGAATTCCAGGGACACTCATATCTCCTTCAGAAACATCTTGAACTTGAACTCCACCAGCTGGATCTTCGCGGAATGAACTTCTAGCTACTAGTTGATGTGATGGAGGCACCATTACAGCCTCTGATCTTATTCCCTCAATGGCCTCCTCTGAAGTCTGGGGACTGGAAGCTCTTTCTGAAGTTCTTCTACGAAGGCTAGAGGTTTTACGAACCCCTTGTGGCTCATGTACTAATAGAGGGCGACGTGCTCCTGTTTCCTGAATGGGTTTTGCAGTTGATGTATCGTCACCTCCTTGATTGACAATTATCTGTTGGGAATTTCTCTGAGAATTCACCACTGTCTCTGTATTGCTACTAGTATTAACCAAGGATACATTAGTGAGATTAACTGTTAAGTTAGTCGCATCTTTCGGCCCTTTCCTGGATTGAACTCTCTCAAGTGGCTTCTGATCTGTGCGGGGAAATCTTTGCCCTTTTGCTTCTGACTCTGAATGCTGACTATATGACTTACCTCTATATTGCTGGTGACCTTCGGACATTTGAGGTGATTGTTTTGAACTCATTGTGGATTCAACTTCACCCATCACTTTGCTTGGGCCAATTTGGTCCCTTTTGTCACTAACCTCCCAATACGAACTGAGAGCTTTACGTTCTTCCTGGGTCTTTGTTCTAGATTCAGACTGCTTCTGAAAAGTAGAAACTGTTCCTAAACCAGCATTTCCCATATCTGTGTTCTTAAGAAGTTCATGGCTGCTGCTGCTTCTATCTTTTCCACTTCTACCAACCATTCCTTCTCCACCAGGCGACAACCTGTGATACCTGGAAGCTGCTCCATTATCCGTTTCATGAATATCTTGCCTACCTGTCACTTGCTGACTATTTCTTCTCACTTCTGCCTGTTTCTCTACCTTGTTGTTCCCTCTCTGATTATATCTAGCAGTCGCACGTTTCTCCTGACTAACCACCACAGCTGATTCCTCCTTGTCATCACTTACCTTGTATTCATGGGAAAAATCATCGATTTTTGTACTAGAATTCATTGACTTCATGTGATTATCTTCGTGGGTACTATCTGTTCTTGATTGAAGTTGTGAAGAATGCTTTATGTATTCAGTTTCCTCGAAGTCAGTAAGTTTCTTCTCAGATTTCTTCCTCAAATCCCATTCAATGCTACTGACCCTTGTCCTATGTTCTGAGACCTCCTTCTGCTTCTCTGAATCCTCTGGATGTTTCTGAAAAGCTCCAACCACTTGACCTTGCGAGCTGCTTTCATCCAACTCGTTCATGTATCCAGTAGACGGTTCCTCCTCGTGAACTTCCTCATCATTCTCAAATTCTTCCTCGGAAGATAGTGAGTAATAAGATGACAAACTAGCACTACCAGTCCTTACCTTGCTGTTTTCTCCCCTGTAAACATCCCTACTATCCTTCTTCTTCTTCTCATTCCTCTCTTCCTTCATTCTTGACTCTTCTTTCTTGAACTCATTGGTATTTGACTCAAACTCACACCTAGACTTACTAGCCAACAACCTTAATCTCAATTGCTTATTCCTCTGGCTTTCACATTCTCCGCCAACATAACTCCCTTGCCTCACCTTCTGCAATCTCTCCGAAAACTCCCCGGTTCTCCTCCTATGATCTAGATACTCCTTGCCCACTTCCTCACTCAACAAATTAATCACAGCCTCAGCATCATTAACACCATCTAAACACCGCCTACGCTGTGAATTCACTTGCCTAGGCCTCACTTCCTTCCTTCTCCCTCCAATTCTTTCCTTACCACTACTCTCCTCAAATGAACAAGGCACCTCATATCCACCAAGATCAAACCCATACCCTGGAACCCGGTCATAGCACCAGGTTCTTCCACCCAAGTTCATTCTCCTAGAAGGCGGACACTGAATAAGACTGGATTGCCGCAACCCGTACAACAGAAAGCTGGGTTTGATAGCAAATGAAGATTTGGATAACGATGGCGAACCACAACAGGAGCAGCAAGCACAACAAGAACAGCACTGCGGTGAATGTGAATGAGAAGAAGGCGGTAGTGATAGAGCAAATGGGGTTCGCCCAAATCGTTCACAGAACAAGTTAGAAGAGCAGTCGGTGGAGGAAATCGAGATGGAGCCATGATGGGTTCCAATTGAGAGTAGAGTTGAGGTGATGCAAGTGTGGTGCATAGCTGATGGTGAAGGGAAAAGCTACGAAGGGGCAAGGTGGAGAAGTAGCAGGGGACTTGGCTTACCTCTGTGGGATTTGGAAGGTTGGTGAAGATGGAACTGAGATTGGTGAATCCATCTCGTGCGGAGTGTAATTGATGGGAACCGATCGTTGCGGAGAAGGGAAATGGATGGGCTGTAGGCGGACTGTTGTCGGGTCGAGTGCGCCGTAGTTTTGAGTTGGATGTCCAATTGTGAAACGAAATCTATGTGCGGTGGTGGGGATCTTGCGGAGGTTGACTGGAGTCCTCCGCTATTGATCCTATCTCAGTCGGGGATGTTCAATTGACCGTATGGTCAAATTTGCTAGCGAGGGAGTCGTTTCAGCCTTTCAGGTGTACCTTGGGCGTACGTCGGGGAAGCGGAGGTCAGTAACGAGTGCGGATTCATGACTAAGGGTGCTAGTTAGAGATGGCAATTCAAGAGGGTTACTATTTGCCGTCCGTGTTATTACTATATGGCGTCCGTGTATTAAGTTAAAATGACTTTTTTCCCCTATCAACAATTCTTCCATCACCGTCACACTATCACCATACCACCATCGTCGGCAGACCACCACCACCAGAGCACATCGTCGGCCGACCACCACCGCCGTTAAACCACCATCGTCGGAGCCATCGAATGAGACCACCTCCGCCGCCGTTTGACCGCCGCGCCGTTGCCAGACCACTGCTGCCGTCGCCAGACCACCACACCTGTCGCCGCCACTCTACCATCTGTGGGCCGACACCGTCCGACGCCGGCGGGAGGACCCCGTCCGACGCCGGCGGGAGGACCGTGCATCTAGCGACGGTTTCAAAACCGTCACAAAACTCGTCGCTAAATGATAATAATTATTTAACTCAATCTTCTATTTTTTTAATTATTATATCATGTTAATAATTATATGTATGTTTATTAATTATATTTATGAATTAGAAAAACTAAAAATTATTCATAAGAAAAAAAATTAAATTACAAAAAATATTGTACAAACTAATTCATACTTATTTTTTAATTATGTAAATAGAGCTAAAATAAATAAATTAAGTATAATAGCAATTAAATAATTATAGTATGTTAAATAATTACAAATTATCTGAAGTAGTGTATAAGAGAATGGATATTTAATCATAAATTATCATAAATATTGTATAAACTAATGAATAATTCATTTTAATTATGTAGAATAGTTATAAAATATTTATAAATTTTGATTAAACCTTTTTAATTGTATTTATTTCATATTTAATAAGAACATCGTACTTAAACTATGTTTTATAAAACTTCCAAGGAATCGAGGCACGAAGAGGACTCTTTGCGGCTCGGGGAAGGTCGGGCAAAAATATCTTTTAGCAATTACTAGAGTCACCGACATGAAAAATTATTGAAACTTTCATTGATCTCTTAAAATGTGGATACAAATGTGTTGGAATCGATTGTTTATCAATCGGACATTCCCGGCAAAAAGAGATGAATAGTGCCAAAACTTTCATCGAGGTGTTTTTAGGGCTCTGGGGATGGTAACTAGGAGTTTCTTGAGCCTATCACGTATATTTCCACGAGACGAAATATTATTGTTAGTGGAGGAAGAGATGAGTTTGCCTCTAAAATAATTTCCTAATAGGATTGGATGGATCGAGGTTGAATGTAGCTATTCAAGGGGAATGAGGGTTTAGGGTTTTGGAGGAGTATAAGGTATAGGAGGTGGATGAGATGCTTTCCTTCTTTATTGTCATTATTGTTCCAGTTGAGTCGAGTTGATTCTTATTGTTGTTATCCGTCATATTGGTGAGATTATTTCAACTGTGGTCAAACCCTAATTAAGTCAAACCCTAATTCAGTTCAAACCCTAATTCCCTAAACCAACTGTGGTCAAAATAATATATTATTAAGTCAAACCCTAATTCGGGTCAAACCCTAATTCCCTCAATCAACTATGGTCAAAATAATATATTAATAAATTATATTCCATACGTGTTTGATAACTACCATAAGTGGATTGAGTTGTTAACTTATTTGGATTGGGATGTTCATATATTAATAAATGATAATCATTAGATGTATTGGGAGGAAATTACGTTGGTTGGGTTGTTAAATAGGAAAATACAATTAGAAGTTGTTAATTACGGAAATTTTCTTCCGAAAACCTAATACTCAATTTCCTCTTTCGAAAACTTGCCTTAAAAAAATTCTCTTTTATTTGCTTAATTATCATATTTATAATTATTTAAATCCTAATTATGGTATTTTACACATTTAATTACTAAATAAATAAATTATAATACAAACACGATTTTTGAAGAAAAAAACAGTAACCGTCGGGTCTCGGAACCGGTCCGTGCAGGGCGGTCGGACCCCTTTCCTCTATGTTGGCGACGACAGCACCCGTGGCGACCTCCTTCCTCTTCAACGTCCGTGATTTTGTGAGGGGAGCGAGTGAGGTCGAACGAATGGAGTGGTCGGCGGACCAGGTCGGAGGAATGGAGGTGTTGGTGGTGGGAGCAGCGGTGGAGGGGTCGGCGGTGGGAGCAGCGGTCGCCGCCGCCAGCAGTTTGTGGGAGGAGGTTGTGAGGGATGAGTTTGATAGGATTTAGGGTTAGTTAGAAGGAGGGGCAAATTCGTCATATTTTTTGTAACTACGGGCGACAAATAGTAAAACTACGGGCGATAAATAGCGATTCATCAATCAAATCCATGCCCACGGGTATCCGACCATCCCCGATCCAGTCAATGCGAGGAATCCCCGCATTGACCGGGGATGGGGCGGGTATGGATAAAACCCGCAAAAAGTTTGATGGGTATGGGGCGGGTATGGTTTTAGCCTCTCCCGTCCCATACTCATACCCGCCCCACCAAAAATATTTTTTCATATATGAAAAATATGTGAATCAATTTGCAACCTATCAATAATAGTGAGTATAACTCAAGAAAATATATAGTAGAAATGTAATTGAGTGGTCACCAAAATCAAAATCTAACTTCTTTCTCTCAATTTTCCCTTCACTCTTCCACTTTTTCCCCTTTTAACAAAATTATGTTAGTTAATTATTATTACTTAATAGATGTATTAGTGTAGAGAATAATGATTTGGATGACATTGTGCTCTACTCTGATATGGATTAATGGACGCTTTAGGATAAAATGTTTTGAATTGTATTAAAAATAATTGTCTCTTTGTCGACTTCATGATATAGTAGGTGCGTTTAATGTTATAATTGAAAATCTACATGTAAATATTCGGTATTATAATGCTCGATGTATGGAGCGGGTATTACCCATGGGTATCAGAAACCCATGGGTATGGGGATGGGTTTGCAAAACCTTCCCCGCATGGGTATGGGGCGGGTATGGTTATAGATATTTGAAAGCGGGGATGGGAATGGGGATGGTTTAGGCAAACCCGCCCCCAAACCCGCCTCATTTCCATCCTTAGTGCTAGTCACTTGGCTAAGTTCCTCCCAGCTCTTAGATCTTGATACAGCAATCTGGCGGTTGAAAAGTGGGAAGGTCTATCTAATTAATGATAGAGGTAGTTTTGGGTATTATGGAAAATTACGAATTATACAAACCAGACTTACAATCAATACAAACCATACAAACAGTACAAACTATAACGACAAAACATACAAACAAATTTACAAACATTACAGACGTATGAACTGTACAAACAATACAAACTAGACCGACAAACAGTACAAACCATACAAAAAAGAAAAAACAACCGGGTTGACTTTGGAGGCTTCATCCCTATATAGAGGGCTCCGTCTCAAAGTCAAACCTGTTGTTTTTTAGACATACAAACATTACGAACATGGTGGACAAAAATGACAAACTAGACCGACAATCCATACAAACTGGAAAAAACACCCGGGTTGACTTTGGAGGCTCCATCCTATATAGAGAAGTTCCATCCAAAAGCCAACTAGGTTGTTTTTTAGACATAAAAAATATTACAAATATGGTTGACAAAAATGATAAACATGGTGCACAAAAATAACAAAGTTTACAAACATTACAAAATAACAAAGCGTACAAACATTACAAAATAAACAGACAAACAGTACAAAGCATACTAACCGTACAAAATGTTACTAAAAATGACAAACAAGAATGATAAACAATACAAACCGAATCTATACAAACATTACAAAATAGGTGAACAAATATCACAAATCCAGCATTGTCGCCGGAAAAGTCTCGAGCGGAGCATTCTCCTCCGATCAGTAGAATATATATATATATATATATATATATATATATGGTGCCTTCTACGGTACCCCGGGTGAAATCCGGGGTACCGCATACTTTGAGTATGAAAATGTTATCTAGACTTCGAATTAGCAGGATTTTTGGGCATGATATTATACCCTAACCCTTAATGAGTGAACCCTAGATGCTAATTATCTAAATCATAACCTATAAACCCTAAGATGGTGCATTCCTTTTTGTGCCTATATTTGGACGAATCATAACCGTCGATTATTGTTTCTAATTAAATTGATCTTGGAGTATAAGATTGGGAGAATTAAGACCTAGATTTGATCTTTAAGGGTTAGAGTATAGTATCATGTCAAAGAGATCAGTCAATTCAAGGTCTAAATAGAGTTTTCATACTCAAGGTATGCGGTGCCCCGGATTTTACCCAGGGTACCGTAGAACTCGCCATATATATATATATCTACTTAGGATAGGGTCAGTAACCATTACTTATGAGTAACTAAACCTGGACCTTTAGATCTAAGTAGGTCCAGAAAATCCAGATCTAAGGGTTATCAATTAAAGGTATTTTATTTTCCCTAGTTTTCTTAATCGGCTCTTATCTTCTTCGTTCTAACTCGGATTTCTTTTTTTTTTTTTTTTGCATCGATGGAACGAGTTAGTTGTGCCGTACAAAATGAGATCAATTTTCAATATATTTCGAGAAACTTTTTTTTACCAACTACATACCATATGGTAACTTCTTCGTTTTTAAGTCGTTTTTTAAAACATTTGCTCAGAAGGAACGAGTTCATCATGATCTATTGGATCTATAAATTTCTGGGTGAAAAAAATAATGGACCAAAAATTACCATACTTTACCACTATGGTATGTGGGTGGTAATTTGTGGTAACTTGTAGTAAACAATGATGAAAGTCGTAAATGACAGTTAGTATACTCCTATTATCATGTATTCAACCTTCTTATCATGTTTATATGTTCATACCATCATGGTACGCTTTCTTACCATATGGTATTAAATAGGAGCATACCATATGGTAATGACTCGTAAAAAATTATTCAATTTTTTTGTACTAAAAATATATCAAAGTGGATATAATTTTAAAGAGCATATTTAATCTGATTTATCTGTGCAAAAAAAATTAAATTTTG